AAAAAAAAAAAAAAAAAAAAAAAAAAAAAAAAAAAAAAAAAAAAAAAAAAAAAACCACAAAAAAGTGAAGGGAACCTCAAACCAACTAAAAAATGTCTCTAATCTAATAAAATCAAATCAAGATCATAATCACAAAAGAGGTTATTAATAAACTCCCATGGGGAGGCATTAAATTGAGCCCCCTCCTAGACCTCCTCATTCGAACTCCCAACCTCCCTAGAAATTCTAGTGTTCCTCTCTAGTCAAATACCCCAAACAATAGCAAGAAATCTTGCCTACCACAACACATGACCTTTCTCACGAAAAGTAGTGAGGCATACTAAACAATAATAATATGGAAAATTTGTTGTTTCTATATTGTCAAAAAAAATTCCTTAAAATAAAGGTACATTAGTTTCGCTTTGGAATCGGGAGGGGGTGGGGGGTGGTTCCAGGCCTCTTAAAGTCTAGAGTACTCTGTATCAGTTTCACACAGTTATGCAATAGTGCTACTTCCATTTGCTTAGTCCGTAACCATGCCAGTATTGAACTTCAGAATAACAGTAATCTTTCATAATTTGTCTCTTTGTTTTTTACAAGAAACAAAGAATATATCAATAGCAAGAAAGTCATGCTAGACCAAAGTGTTAAAAAAAAGACTCCAAATTAACTGAAATATGCACACCATAATAGTTACAAAAATACTTAGAAAGAGAACACCAGATGGATGCAAAAATCACAGTAGGAGGGCGCTTCTGCTGAAGCATATGCCTACTGTAATCTACATTAACCCGAGCTTAAATAACATACTTACAATTCCCCTCCAGTGCACCAGTTCCACTTTTCATAAAAAGGTCGAGAGTAAGAAAACCAAAAAGGTTAGACGGAACAAAATAATGAGTGAATTAAATTAATGATAAATGGTGTTAACTTTTTTGGAGTTAGCATTTAAATATCAGATGAAAACATGCCTCATAAACTACAGTTAGGAGAAAAAACTCTCCACATTCATAAAATAAAACTTCATTCCATCCTCTATGACAGGAAAGCAGAGAAAAGGAGAAACAACACTTATAAAACATGTTAACAGAACTTCGTTCACGTTTGCTAATTTAAGAATTCAAACTGCGACCATATCAAGATCTAGAAAGAATACAAATAAAGAGTACAAAGTTTCACCTTTATATCCGAGAACAGATGCTCCAGCTGCAAAACCACCTATTGCTCCATTTACGAAGTCTCTCTTCATTCTATAATTCTGGACAAGCTGCTCAACGCCAATGTATACCCCTCCAATAGCAGCAAATGTCATCCCATAGTTTCCCATCATTTTCAAGGTTCTCACAAGCCCGGGCAGAGCAACGTTTCTCTCAACACGGGGCACATCATACCACGTGGCAGCAATTGTCCCAAAAATGGTCCCAGAAACAAATCCTGTAGTAGCACCTTTGATCGTTTTCATTATTGACGTATCATCATCCTCCAAGTACCTACGCTCTGAAGCATCCATGGGTTTTTTTTTCAAGTTACTGGCAATGACCAAAGCTGCAGAAAGAAAAGATGCAAGACTCAGGTCTCAAAAACCACGTCGAAAGAAAAAAAAAAATCTTTTTTTTTCCTGAAATCATTCACTGAAACGGAAAATTAATTAGGTGAAATAATAACGAAACATGTATGTATCCCGTTCCTTTACGTTTTCTCAGCAGAAAAAGACGTGCATTAAAAAAAAAAAAAAATCAGGAATTTCTAACTTCCTGTGAAGAACGAGCAGCTAGATGCAAATATCATAATGGAACTGCAAAAAGAGTAGGGCAATCTACATCGTCAATTCGAACCAATAACCCGCTGGATAACGAACAATTCGAAATCTAAACCAAATAAATGCGTTTAGATCAAGCCGGAAGCGTCAAACAATATCCGCTAACTCGCACACCTGCAGACTAAAATTCAATTTCTCTATTTCCTCGAAAAGAGAAGCAGGCAGATCAAACCGCAGAGAGGTAAACCTAGACGGATTGCGTTTACAATTACATCAAGTGCGATCAAGCATTGTACATTAGGAAAATCCATAAACATTCAAACAAAGAGGGTTGGATAGAAGGAAGAAACAAATACCCCTTGCGATGAAGCTCGCGGGAAAGAGGAAGAGGAGGAGGAGGAGACTGAACTTCTAAAACCAGCGCAAGAAGAACTTCTTTTCAACTCGTGTTACTCAATCTGGCGCCGTTGCAGCCCGATTCTCAGATGGTTGCGTAATTACAATACTACCCTTATCGGTGCATCCACTACAATTACAAATATTAAATTATAAATTTAGCCCAATTTTAATTTTGTAGAATTTCTCTTATAAAATCATATTTTTTTATTATTATTTTGAATTCAATAAATCTTGAATTCTTAATTTCGAATTTTTCCCATATTTCTTAAAAGAAATATTTGAAAGAGTCAAATCTTTTATACTCTTATTCTATTCATTATAAAATATAAAATACTACTGAGGTATTTGATACGTCTTTCTTTGCCCGATGATAGATGGCCAATTCTAGATCTTTATTCGTTTTCAAGATACTTGTATATATATACACACAAAAAGAGGTCTCTTTCTTTGCCCGATAATAGAGGGTCAATTCTATCATACCCTTTTGTTGTACAAGATTGAGTTGTCTCACTTCGAGTGCCTTCCTTCGTAATCAAATCTGATCATACCCTTTGGCAAAGTTACCTACCAAATCAAAGGTCTAGTAGGTGATCGGAATCCCTCAGGTGAATGAGGACTAACTCGCCTACTCCAACTCTCTCGTTTTTATCTCGATAAGCGTTTCTTCTATTTAATTCACACTAAATCTCTGATTCGAGATGGTCGTACATACTAAGACTGATCATATGAAAGAAAAAGAAGATGAGATGCAAAAACTGATCATATGACAAAGGGGGGGAAAAAAAAGGCAACCGAGTCTATCACAAACTTTTTTGTTCTCTTAATTCAGTAACTTTCTTGTTCAAGTGAGTTTCATATAGGACCAGAAATTGGCCACGGCCTGCATTGTTACAATCAACACAAAGAGTAACGACTCTATCGAGCTCAAACCTGCTATACATGAGAATTTAGTCAACAAAACTTCTGGCTGATCTTGGAACTTTTTCCTTGTCATCTAAGAGATATGAAATGGAAATGACTCTAATTATTCTGGTCAATTGGTGTCCAACAAGATCAGATGGATGAGCAGCTATATGTTGGCGAGCTCATGAAGCCTGTGTTAGTTGTATGGAAGGATTTCTCAAAGGTGTCAACTGCTTTACTTACTACTGCAGCACGTTTTTCCATCTCGACCCTTCTCCGAATACTTGTCAGGTACCCGACAATGGCGAACATAGGAGGCCGACGCTTTGTTACAGGCTGATTAAGTTTTCAATCACACACACAGATGTGAAGGTCAGCCAGCCGTTGGTTACATAAACAAATCAACTAGTGACATACTTCAAAGAGTTTCTATATCTCACAAGGGTATCCTGCCATTTACCTGTATACAAAGGGTGATAATATCAGCATAGCGAGAGAGAACCTTGGAGGATATTGTTCCTTTAATGTCAGGATCGATAATCTCGTCTAGACTCCCACAATCGTGAAGCTGAAATGACGCCCGTCTTAACCGAGATTGCTCGATCCCTGGTCTCAAACTGTGTGACACGAATCAAAGTTTTAACAATCTGGAAAGAGCCAAAGGGATGAGAAAAGCTAGAAGATACAGCCAAGAGGTAGGATAGGCCATACTCATTCGGTTTTTTTCCTGTAATAAGCTCCAAAAGCAATACACCGAATGCATGCACATCACTTTTGGTATAATCAATCCCAGACTGACCATATTCAGGTGCAAAGTAGCCAGTGTCAGCAATAGCTATTTGAGCAGCCTGTTTTCATCAATATTTCGTTAATAAAATGGCTAAGAAAAGAAACTGTGATCAAGGTTAAACAAATTACATCCCAAGAACATATAGGGAACAAACGAATTGGATGAAGATGATAACAAGAAAACGTGCAGTAGAGAGAAAAACAATGACAATGCGTTTCTAGATGTCTTTGAGCAACTCATCAGCTAGAAGTTTAAAGTAACATTGAACATCCCTTGCAATATGTTTTGTTTATGAAAAGTTTGTACCTGAAGACCACTGTTCCGACTACCATTTCAAGCATTTAAGGATGGTTTAAGTGTATTCAGGATGTTACTTGCCTTGATTTTAACTCCATTGCTTACAAGAGGCTTTAAAACAGACAAACCACAGTCACAAATCTTCGGCATTAATTCTTCATCAAGCATGATGTTGGCGGCCTTCAAATTGAAGTGCGCCAATGGGGGGAAAAAAGCATTATGCAAGTAACTGAAAATGCAGAAAGACAACGATTATAACCCCATAAAATATAAGCTGCTTGAAGCTTCCTTAGACAAAGAGATACTTATGAGTTAGTGGCATAAATATAGAAAGCACTTGAGAAAAATCAAAATTGTTCAACGATAGAGATTACGAAGCCACGTTCCACAAGCAAGTTTCTAGATCAGAAGAAGACTCAGTCCTGATTATTAATGTACTTACTCCAAAGCCTTGGCAACTCCATGAGCAATTTGGAGTCGAACACTCCACGATAGAAGGTTTTGTCCGACGCTGTGCAGAGCATCATCAAGAGACAGATTCCCGACATACTCATAGGTTAGTAGATGTTGCCCATTGTCTACACAATATCCAAGAAGGCTAACAATGTTAGGGTGCCTCAAACGAGTAATCGTGCAGACCACATCCAAAAACTGTTGTTCTTCTGTGAAAGAGAGTGCTTCCATATCAACCATTTTCACAGCCAAAATCTGATCCAAAACACAAATGTAGTTAGATTTTTTCATTAGGTACACTGGCATCAAATATGAGTATCATTTTGAAAAGTAAATTGGTAGTACTGATTCAAGTGTGCTCATTATACTTGGCCATCGGGAAATTCAGCTTTATAGACAGAACCAAGAGATCCCTCTCCAAGAAGGTTTTCTTCACTGTACTTGTTAGTAGCAGACTCAAGCTCAGTCACGTTGTAAGTTTTTGTTTTCACTGGGAACCTGGATCTCCTACAGAAACTTCTTCTGCCATATGCCCTCTCAGTTCTGGCATGACGAGTAGAACAGGCATGATTTGGACCGCCACCTATGACTGGAGAACCGACAGGCAAGACATTTGAACTATCATACTAAATTTCATCGAAACATAATTCTTTGTTCTCAAAATTTTAAAAGACTTCAAGAAAAATGAAGTGGAAATAATTGAATCATTGGGTTCAATGAATATCTACACCATATCTTCTGAAATCTTGATGGTAAAACCATAAAACTCAGTATATTGTGCCCTCCAGAACATATAAATAGAATGCTTGAATCAGAAACACACAAGCAGGTAAAGGTAGTACAAATATAGGAAAAAACATAGAGACCAATGGCACTCAGTCAAAACTTGACATGAATGGTCTGTAAATTCATTAATCAATCCTTCATTTTAAGATATTTTAGTAATTTGTTCACGTGTAATCATGTTTCACTATATACGTCCCAGAAGTTACGATAGAGAATGTAGCAGTATGAGAAGTTGCATGTGAGGAGAAGATCATTCACCTGCAGCTGTGCTGATTGGAAGAGACATGTTTACGAGCTTCATGCTCCCTTTCTTTGCACATATTTGAGTCTTGCAGATTGCAATAAATAGAGCTGCAAGGATTATCACAAAACCACCTCCACCAGCCACTATAGCTATTCCACCAGGACCTAATTTCCCCCCCTTTTTCCCAACCTTTTTCTTGTAGGGACATTTCTCAAAGATAATTGACTCGGTTAATGGAGGCCTGCTATTGTTGTGCGTCAAAGGTGCTTTTTCTAAGGAAAAATCGCAGGATGGAGATTTACTCACATCGAACCTATTTCCCCCAACCCTAATGAGGGATTGAGAGGCAACATAAGAAAAAACTTAGAGATAAATAATGCCTAGTTTAGGCAAAAGAAAGACCCTAACTGCTAAGAGATCTAAAAACCTCACCATAAATGTGCAATTGTCTTAAAATGCTCTGGAATAGTGCCGCTAAAGTAATTGTCTTGGATGTTCCTAGTAAAGTTTAATGTGAGTCAAAAGGTTATATAGTGACACAAGTTAAAATTCAGTAGTACGGTAACGGAAAAACATACAAATCAGTTAATGGAAGATGAGATAAGTAGGAAACCGACCCTGTGAATTTGTTTTCCTGCAAGAACCTAGTATGCTAGATATTAATGAAACTAATAATTTGTATTAATTAATTTATCAAGAAGAAATAATCGAATTCAAAAACCCACAGTCTATTGATATTAGTCAGAGAAGCAAATGAATTTGATAAATCTCCAGTGAAGTTGTTATATGACAGATCCCTGTAGAATAAGAACAATCAGTGGTTAAAACAGCCTGACCAAAAGGGTAACTGACTCAAGCATATTATAATTTCACATTTCAATATAATATATGCTTGATTAACTTCATTATCGTTACATAAATGAATTAATTCACCACCATCAAAATGTTAGTACAAGTTGCCAACAATGGAGATTATTATCCATTTGTTAGCTACGCTCGCTAAGAGTAAAAATATATCCAGTCTGTATCTTCTTTCTTGGTCATGGAAAATCTTAATGGGCTTATACTAGGAAAATTAACCAATTCCTTACATTTTCAATTCAGAGGAATTAAGAAAACTGGTGAAAAATCATACATCTCCACAAGATTTTGTAGGCCAGAAAAAACATTTGCAATGGGGCCAGATAGCACATTATGGCTTAGATTCCTGCACATATAAGAATATGATTTCAGATGAAAGAAACATTTAGACAGGCACTTACAGGTCTAGGAGCGACTAAAGCAAGACATGTAACTTACATATAGGTGACATTCGGGGGTAACCCGGAAGGAATTTCACCCAGAATTTTATTGCAGCTAGCATCCCTAATGAAAAAAATATCATTAAGCAAATGAGTTTTGGTTGAACCATAGTCGAAGAAAGTGGTTCATTCTTACAGTCGCTTCAAATTATGGAGAAGATAAAGCTGGTCTCCAAGATTCCCAGAAAGGTTTAATCTATTAAGTTTACTGCATAAAAAGAAAACTTCTAAGGGTCTTATTTATAGGGACTCTTGGAAAATCGAATGAACAAAGGGCCGAGTTAAGTACATTACAGGTCTATTACAGATGAACCAACACAAAACACCCCAGTCCACGTTCCACCGCAAGGATCCCCACCATTTGTTCCCCATCCTTTAAGCTCTGGTGGGTAGTTTAGGGTACTATACAGATTGAGAAGAGCTAAAACTGGACATTGGAACGCCAGAAAATTCAGAATTGACATGAATTCGACGCTCAGCTTGAATTGTTTTAAGAAAACCCTAATTTCTTTAGTTCAATCTATCTTACTTAACCGGTAAAATTAGTATTGATCAATAAAATGCAGTGCTATTGATCCCATTCCAATTTCGTTATTTAATTCTCCTATAACCCAATCAAGGGAAAGCATCTAAACAGAAAAAAACCAATCAAGAATACGAAAACGACAAGAAGATCATTAGGGTTACCATCCTGCGGGTCAGTAAAGCACTGAACGACTGAAGTCAGAGTTGCCAAGAAGACAATGACACTGAAATACATTACCGCACGGAGGTGGGCCCTTTCTTGAGAGATCGCCACCAGTTTAGACGTTTTTTTTTTCTTCAATCGCTAAAACAGAACATTCAGAATTCAGAATACAAAATGACAAACAGTCAAAATTCAGAATACAAAATGACAAACAGTCAAAATTCAGAATACCAATCGTATACCAACCAATCCGCAAAACGAATCAGCAGAGCAGAGCGGAAATGTAACGAGGAATGTAGAAATTTCGGGTCAGTCGAACTGCTTCTCGTAGATTTTCGAACAGTAAAGAACGTCAAAAGGTCCAAAGAAAGCAGAGCAGAGCAGCGCGGAGTGTAAACTGAGACTAGAGAAGGCGAAGTTCTTGATTACGGAACAACTGATGAGCTGGCATCCACGTAAGCTAAATCCGCTAAGTCCTTGAGACCACGTGTATTACTCGTGCCGGCAATTTTACCAAACGTCACTTCCAAAAAGTACATTTTTTAATTAGTTGGTTATTTTTTTATTATTGAAAATGAAATTTTTAACAACAATAAAATAATTTAATAGAATTTATGATTATTTTCATGAAATTAATGATTACATTTTTTAGTTTTTGAAGTTTGCGTCAAATTATTACTTAGGTTAATTGAAAAATGTTCTTTATAAAAGCTCTATTTTGGTCCTTGTTAATAACTTCTAGTTATAAGATAATAATCCTATAATTAATAATAACGATATAAAGTTGTATTTCAACCTTATAAAATAAATTCTACAATTTGATTATAAAATAAATTGATTAATGACGTACACTTAGCTTAATTGGGCATCATTAAAACTAATCCATTTTATTTATAAAAAAAAAAACATTTTAGTTTTCATTTAAGTATATTATTTTTAATTTCACAACTGGTAGAAGTTAGTAATTTTTTATATGATTATATAAATTTAAACGAGCCAATCATAAATTTTTTATTTCTACATCAATTCAAAAATATTTACGTAGATGAAGCACTAATATTATTTTTGAGTTCGTTAGTTCAATTCTATATATCTACCATGGTCGAAAATTGATTCACTCTTTCAAGAACCGTCTGTACATGAGACGAAGAAGATTCTTACTAAAGCATCTATTATACACATAGTAAAGTATTTTTCTAAAATGAGGTGGAAGGATAGCTGTATGTTGGTGAACTTACGTAGCCAGTGTTGGTAGAACGAAATGATTTTTCAAAAAGATCCACTTCAGTTCCTTCTATAGCAGCACGTTCGGCTTTCTCCATCTTCCTTTGAAGGTTCGTTAAATGTTCCACTATTTCGGACATTGGTGGTCGGAATTCCTTCGCAGGCTGATCGTCCATAGATGAAATTCACAAGAAAATAAGTTAGAAAAGTTATTCCATAGATGAAAGGTTCAAAGTGGACCATTTTGGAGAGTCGTGATTCTTAATATAATATAGAGTTATTCCCTTAATTTAGTTATGTCAATAGAATCCTCACGAATCGAACAAATAAATTGCTAGCCTCGAAGGTGCAGTAAAAAATGACTTATGTGTTGAACAAAGGGTGTACTTTGTTCAAGAGATTCAGAGAAAGGAGTCAAGCCTAAATGAAAGGGAGGTTGTTCGAAGGCTACATAGACCTCAAGAGAGGCTCTACGGTGTACTTTGTTCGAGGGGAGGATTGTTGGGAGGGAATCCCAGATTGACTAATTTAGAGGATGATCATGAGTTTATAGATAAAGAATACATTTTCATTGGTACGTGATCTTTTGGAGAAGTCCAAGGCAAAGTCATGAGGACTTGTGCTCATATTCAAAGTGGACAATGTCATACAATTACGAAGAGTAGTGTGGAAAGTCGTGATTCCTAACAAGACTATATCAAATTCTTTTAACATATATCAATTCAACATTTATACGAGAAGCTACTTCAAATCAGCCTAGAAATAAATTAAGGGACATAAGATTTCATTTTACCTGTATACAAAGGGAGATGATATCGACAAAGCGTGAGAGGGACTTGGAGGAAAATGTTCCTTTAATGCTTGGATCAACCATCTGTTCTAAACTCTCGTTGTCATGAAGCCGAGATGAAGCCCATTTCACCAGCGATTGCTCTTCCCTCGGTTTCGAACTGGGTAAAAAGAACAAAATTATTCACGTTCAGAACTGCAATGAGAACTTGAAAAGGAAGAGAAAACCAAGAGGAGTTTCAAATGAAACTGTACTTGTCAAATGGTTTTCTTCCTGTGACAAGCTCCAAAAGCAACACCCCAAAGGTATACACGTCACTTCTAGTATTATCAAATCCTGGCTGCCCATGTTCAGGTGCAAGGTAGCCTATGTCACCGCTGACAATCTCTGAAGCCTGTTTTCATCAGTTTTTACACGTAAAATTTATGAAAAAATTACCACAAGAAAACAAGGCAAATTTTAAAATTGTAGTTTATGAACAATGTTACTCTTCCAAAATGAACATTTAGAGCTGTTTATTTACTATCAAATGCAAAACAATAATAATAAAATAAGCACATTCTCAACTGTTTTTTACCTTCGTTTTAACTCCATTGGTCACAAATGGCCTCAAAACAGACAGCCCACAATCACAAATACGAGGCATCAGTTCTTCATCAAGTAAGATGTTGGCAGCCTTCAGACTGCAGTGAGCAAATGGAGGGAAAAAACTTGTATGCAAATAACTGAAAACCCAAAAGGAACACAGTTATAAACCCTCAAGAATACAACTATAAATGAAAACCTTGTCTCAAGGTAAAAGAAAGTGATTTTAGAAAAGATGAACCAGAAATTTTTATACATCACAAAGAATAAGGGTGAGTTTTAGCATTTAGAGTAATTTGCATTTTTCTCAAAATGTTTATAGAAAAAACATAAATACAAACGACAAAAACCGTAGAATGCTTGTTAAGCTAGTCATACATTGAAGATTTGGAAGCCAAATTAATTTTTTTTAAAAAACATATATTGCATATAAAATGTAAAATCACAGATGAACTAAAGGTTTTTGCCTCTCTTAAGTTTGGTCAGACAACATGAAATTGATGATCAAATACTTTACTTACTCTAAAGCCCTAGCAATTCCAAGAGCAATCTGGAGACGGACAGTCCATGACAGAGGCATGTATGCTTCACAGTGTAAAGCGTCATCAAGAGACAGATTTCGAACGTATTCATATCCGAGAATATGTTGTCCATGCTCTACACAATATCCAAGCAGCGTAACAATGTTCGGGTGCCCCAAACGGGAAGCAGTCCATACCACATCCAGAAATTGCTCTTCTTCTGTAAAGGAGAGAGCTCCCATGTTGAGATTTTTTACTGCCAAAACCTGGTAGAAATTAGAAGTCAGAAAAAAGTTCATGGAGGTCAGATCAAACTTTGCTCGTATAGGGATCATTTTACTTGGCCATCAGGAAATTCAGCTCTATAAACAGCACCAAGAGATCCCTCTCCCAGAAGATTCTCTTGACTAAAGTTGTTTGTAGTGGATTGAACCTCTGCCAGGGTGTAAATTTTTGTTCTCACTGGGAGCCTACATCTGTTTGAGAAACCTTTTCTTCCTGAAAATTTCTCTGTTCTCGTGTGATTTAATATAGGTATAGGCCTTGGACAGCCCATGAATTGAGAACTCAGGGGCAAGCTTTGTGAGCCTTCTTCAGGTGCAGTTGACGAACCATCTATCACAGAAAAAGAATTGCTTAATATCTGGAAAAAAGATGCTAGTCGAGTATAGGCATGCTTGACATTTACGAATATGCGATCAGAGACTGAAAAGATGAAATTCAATATTTGTAATGTATCAAACGTTTGAAACCAAACTCACTAAGGGAAACTAGTCTCCGTGTTATGATGGGAGCTTTTGCATTTTCATCATACTAAGAAGATGAATTCCCATAATACTAATATTCCGTTTCAAATCTTAGACGACTTCAAGAAAACAATGCCATTTACATAATTGAACGATTACATTCTTCAAGTGTCAACATTACCATTTCCATTACGACATATTAACTTTGAAACTCGGAAGACAAAAAAGTAGTATGTTGAGATCAGAAATATATCTGTCCCAATGATAGGAGAGAACAAAGACCTATGGGATTAATATAGGTCAGATATCTACCTGTATTGGTAGGGTTTCTTTTAATCATTCAATTAGTTATATAAATTAGCCAATAAGCTTCGATCTATTTATAGCTAAACGGCACCAAGTCCACAACGTGAAGACATCTGGCAATAAAAAACAAAAATCTGGAAGAATTTTGTAAGGAGAAGCACCAAGTCCACAACATGAAGACATCTGGCAATAAAAAAGCAAAAATTTGGAAGAACTTTATAAGGATATGGATTCACCTTCAGCTTTGCCCAGAGAAAGAGAACGAGGTAACGTATTGCTAATCTTCAAATTTATTTTCTTTTCATGAACTTTCTTCATGGAAAATACGACAAAGAGAGCTGCGAAGGTTACTACTAGTGTCACTCCTCCTACCAGGAGACCTATTCCACCAGAACCATGCCTTCTCTTCTCATGCCTCACGGCACCACGAGAGGGATAATTCTGGATGGCGTTTGACTTGGTTGTTGGAGGACCACTGATGTTCTGCATTATAGGATCTTTTCCCAGGGGAAAATCCCAGGGTGGAGAATTAACTTGTGGACGAAGCCTATTGCTCCCAATCCTAAACAGAGGTCAAGTGAAAGTTTCTTTTGTGTAACTTCATGATCGGTTTAGGCAAAAGAATCCACCACCAATAGTTGAAATTTGAAAAGCTTACCACAAATTTGGAATGTTTCTAAAATTGTCTGGAATAATGCCATTAAAATAATTGTCTTGGATGTTCCTGACAGAAGAAGGGATATGTGAGTGAGTACACGAGTAGTAGCTAGCCGAAATAGGCAGAGATTCTACACTGGACGGAGAAGAGGAAGCCATGGATAACATACAAGTCAATTAATGGAAGGTGGGACAAGTAGGCAACTGATCCAGTGAATTGGTTATGCTGCAAGAACCTAGTCTAGATAGCATTAATATGATAAATAGTTGTTCAAATTTTTGTATAAAGAAAGAAGAAATAAACAAATACAAGAAACTCACAGTCTAGTGATGTTCGTCAGAGAACTGAAGGAATTTGGCAAATCTCCAGCAAAGTCATTATATGATAAATCCCTGTGAATGAGGATTAATCATTGGTTGAATCCCATGACCAAAAAGGATTGTATGTAAAAATTTAAATAACCCAAAGTATTATGAGTTAATATCTGAATGCGAGAGTCGAACTGTAGAAAAAGTATGGAACTTTGTGAGGTAAATTAGAAAGGCATGCAGTAAAACACAAATCAGCAGTTGACTTGATTAATTGTCCGTTCAAATCGGTTCAATTCAAAGGCAGAAATAACATTATTAGCGAAGAAGGAAGCGTACATCTCTCTCAAATTCTGTAAACCAGCAAACACATTTCCAAGCACACCAGATAGAGTATTATGGCTCAGATTTCTGCGTGCAAAAGAATATGGATAAAGAACGAAGGACCTTTAAACGTTAACGCAACGGTAGTCAAAGATCAACTTACATATGTCGGAGATTTCCCATGTAAGATAAAGTATGTGGAAGATTTTTGCTTAAACGGTTGAATGCCATATTTCTGCAACATATAAGAATTTTACAGAATCTATTAAACAGAGTAACTGGGTACATGCCATATTTTCAAATACAAAAAGAACCCTTTGAGTACACAACTATGGATGAAAAACATCACATACAACTTACATATGAGTCGCATTAGGAGGCAAGTTGTGCGGAATTTCACCCGTAAGTCTATTAGAGCTAACATCCCTAGCAAGAGAATTAAACAGACGTAATCACACAGTAATCAGCAACATTGACAATTGTTCTATTGACCAAACAAATAACCTACATTTGCTTCAAATTTATGAGATTGTTAAGCTGTCCTCCAAGATTCCCAGTGAGATTTAGTCCATGGAGCTTACTACAGAAGCAGATAATATTCAGAGAAGCACTTCGGTCAAAGAAGGAAACATAATATCAAGAACATGTTTATGATGTTCAAGGAGCTTTATGACATTACAGGTACATTACAGAGAAACCGGAGCAAGACACTCCAGTCCATGATTCCTCACAAGGATCTCCACCTTCTTTTCTCCATCCTTTAAGCTCGAGTGGATAGTTCATGGCACTGTACAGATCCTGAAGAGCTGCAACTGTACAGTACACAATATCAATCCGTCAATAACGGGTAAAAGAATAGCTACAAAGCTTCGGAATGATTCGCAAATAGGTGATGTCTACGATTATCATATATTAATCCTCAAGATAGCTTATGATCAGGAGGCTATCAGAAGACGTCAAGAAACTATAACCATAAAAACCAGTGCTCTATTCCAATCAAGTTCCTAATTCGAAGCCAAGAAACTAAAATTAATAAGCTGCATTCAAGCAAAAAAAATGTAGTTGAAATAGTTACCATCCGACGGATTAGTGAAGGCCCTAGCCAGCGATGTCAGAATCGTCAAATAGAAAACGACATTAAAATACCCAAACAGACGCTGTTGGAGCATTTCTCCAAAAACCACGGTCCAGTTTGATGATTCTCTGTTTCCATGGAACATAGAATCGAACACAAGTAAAGCGTCAAGAACATGGTAGCGTACAAGAAGATTAAACCACAGAAGAAGTCACCACACCGATATTCCAAGTAAGAATCAAAAACTACAAAAAGATTAAGAGTAAGACGTTGACACGTAGTAGTTAAAGCCGAAGAAAGAGTTGTTTTCTTGCTACTCTTTCTCTGCAACAAGAATTACTCCAAAAGGAAAAAATGGCGGAACGGAAAAGTTGTTCAGTGGAAGTTAGGGTTTGGAAATGGTACCTTCGAGAGAGAGAGCAGAAGGAAGGCGTGCTGAACTGGTTCGCACAGAGAGAAAATGAACTCGTACGGACAGGTGTGGAGTGTGAAAAAATCGCCTGCAAATGAGCGTACTCTTTGGCGGCAATGAAGACGATGAAGTTTTTGCAATTGTTGGAAGTTGATGAGCTGGCGTCCACGTCGGCTGAAACGGTTACGAATTTATAAGTGTTTTCTAAATAATGATATTCTTTCTTTTACTAATTTAACATCTTTTTTTAAAAGAATGTCCAAATAGCGGTAAATTATTATTCGTTCCAGAGGTTACGAGCTATGGCGGAATCAGCTTTCAAGCAATCCAACGAACCAGACGATGGAGAAGATGATTACATGGGCGACCTTTCTAAGTTGCTTCCTCCTGAAGTTACTAGCTCTTCCAAATCCATGTCCAAGAAGGTAAGGTCTTCTGGCTTTGCTCTGTTCTTCAGCCAATCGATAATTCTAGGGTTAGTTCCTCCATTAGTTTCTTGGTCTTAAAATCAAATTTAATTGCAGCTTCCTGCTAATAAAACCCCTGCTGTTCAAACGTCGATTAAGAAGCCCAAAACCTTCAATTGGCAAGAACAGCGCAGACGGGATAGAGAACGGAAGCAATTCGAAGAGGATGAACAGACATTGGCCAGAATAGAGGCTCCGATTCCACAATCGAACATTGGATTTAAGTTGTTGAAGCAAATGGGGTACACTCCTGGCGCAGCTTTGGGCAAGGAGGGATCGGGACTGGCAGAGCCCGTGGGACTTGAGATTCGACGGTCACGAGCTGGAATTGGCCGCCAAGATCCGATTAAAGAGAAGAAGAAGCAAGAAGTTATAAGATCTGAGAGAAAGAGGAACCATCAGGAGGCCTTGATGGAGGAATTTGGGTCTCGACAGAAGCTGCAGTGGCGAAGTCGAAGAATTGTGGTCAATTACCACAAGGCGAAGGCAGCACTTGATCAGTTGGAGAATAAGGAAGTTGTGGAGCCAGAGAAGAAGGACGATGAGGAGGAAGGAGATGAGGAGGAAGAAGAGGAAGAGATAATAACAGAAGAGGTATAATTCTATTCTGAAAGTTCTACCACCCTCCTTAATTTGATGTAAAGTTCTCCCTTTGTTAGGTTAGGAATCACAGCTTTTCACAATGGCATAATATTGTCCCCCTTATGATTTTGTTTTTGGTTTTCCTAAAAGGCCTTATACCAATGAAGATGTATTCCTTACTTATAAACCTATGACCAACCCCTTAATTAGCGGAAGTGTGACTCTTCTCCCAACAATCCTCAACAATCCTCCCCTCGAATAAAGTACACTATAGAGCCTCTCTTGAGGCCTATGGAACCCTCGAATAGACTCCCCTTAATCGAGACTCGACTCTTTCTTTGGAGCCCTCGAACAAAGTACCCCATTTGTTCGACAGTCACTTTTGACTACATCTTTGAGGCTAACGACTTTTTTGTTCGACATTTGAGAATTTTATTGACATGGTTAAGTTAAAGGCATGATTCTGATACTATGTTAGGAATCACAAATCTCCACAATGGTATGATATTGTCCACTTTGAGCATAAGTTCTCGTGGTTTTGCTTTTGGTTTCTCCAAAAGGCTTTGTACCAATGGAGATGTATTCCTTACTTATAAACCCATGATCAACCCTTTAATTAGCCGATGTGGGACTTCTCTCCCAACAATCCTCAACATCATGGTAGGATCAATCTTTCATTTTTTGATTCAAGATTAAAATGAATTGCTGTCTGCCATTGGTTAGACTACTCTGCTATTTCAAAGTCGAGCTCTATTAATTGGAACCCTGTGGTGGACATTTGCGAAGAAAGATCAAATAAGACAAATATTTAAGAACTGAAATTTCTCATACTGGAATTTTTTAGGCACACCATCTCTCAAATCTCTTCTTTTGTCCACTCCGAATATTTGATTCAACTACACCACCTCCTGTATATTGATTTACTCTGAAAAGAAACAATTTCATTATTAAATGTAAGGTACAAGAGGGAGAGACCCAGGGCAAGTAGTTTACAAGGTCTTCCGATTAGCATAAAAAGAAGAAATAGGAAGTTACACCTTTCAGATGCTTCACCCAGCTCCCAAAAGCTGTCATTTCCACAATTCCATTAACCTTAGCTTTTAGCTCAAATTCTGGAGTCAAGTTAGTTTTCAATGTCTTTTAGGTGATGTTCCTATTTTTGACCCATACCCTGCTTCTTAGGCTGTTACTCATTATTCACATGATATATATGTATATAGATATAGATATATAAATTTGTGTTATTTCGGTGTGAACGTTTTTGCTGGGGAATTGGTATAACATAGGTCAGTGATTGATGCAGGATTTGGAGAGCATTTTGATTAAACTGAGAGAGGAACATCGATATTGCCTTTTCTGTGGATACCAGGTGAGTCTATTGCACCAATCTTTGAGACAATAGTTCAAGATTGACTTGTATGTTATGCTAAACCTGAATCCTCCTTTTCTTAACATCATTCTGCTGTTCATTGCAGTACGACTCGATAGAGTTGCTCCTATCTAACTGCCCTGGAATTAATGAAGATGATCACTGAACTACCTTTTCCTCCAAACGCTTCTACGGAAATGCCCCCTTCATATTAAGGGTTGCATGATGTGCTTTACTATGTCTTTATCGACATTAACGGCATAATTTCCCAGGAAACAATCCAATCTGAAGTTGCTGTTCGGAATAGCAGTTAATTGATAGAACAAGTTTTTTTGAGTTTAAGGCCCAGAAGTAGGAGTTCAGTGACACCAAATCTGCTCTACATAATACCTTGGGCCAAGCTCCCCCGTATTGTGTCCTTTTGAGTGCAAAGTGTAAGAGAATTTGAACTGTGATGTTGAATTCAAGTCTCCTAGCACAGCGGCTGGACAAAAGTTGGCGGGTAAAAGGATTTGAAGTAAATGTTGAACATTCTTGAAGTGGCATCTTTATTATTGAAATTTAGTTGCTTGTTAATCTTTCTGTCATATTCCCTGATAATGCAGTGACAATCTGTAAGAGATTTTGACCAATTCTGGATTCAAGTTTTAACAATCTTCTCTGCTTTTTATCTTATAAAAGTAGTAGTGAATTACATGGTGACTCCTTGAGGTCGATTCGAGAAGAATGTACATGGAAATTGGGTCACAATTTTACACTTGTTTTTGGGTGAAATGTAGTTTTGATCTTTCAGTTTGTAGATCAGTTTGCTCTTAGACCATTAGTTATTACTAACAAAACTTTTTAATGAGTAGAAACATTATTCTTCGACCATTCAAAGGCAAGCAGCTAGCAATGGCAAAATCAGACTAAACACACAAGCACCAGACAGTTCCATAGTAAAATGTCAAAAGGGAAAGAGTTCAGGTCTCAAGTCTTCCTGATGTAGTTCATAAAACACAAAGGGAACAATAGTTTTCAACAAACCCAACCAGGTGGGGAATGGCGTAGACGATGAGTTCGATGTCTCGAGCCAATTATTCATTCAAAAAGGCCTAAAGAGGAGTGGATTTCACTGGAACCAGAAGAGTTGAAGTGCAGCAGCACCTCAAAGTGACCAGTGCAGATGCTGCTGGGTTGAGTCGAAGGCGCCTGCTGATTGCCCAAGTTCCATGTATGGCCTTCTACTACCTTGATTAGGAAACTGGACATCACCAGAGAAAGAACTGGTAGTAAGAGCCTGTGAAACTTGATGATTCAGACCCAAGTCAGATGCCAGGTCCAGGGAGATGCTAGCAGGAGCTTCATTTCCCTTGAAACTCCACGACGACATCGACATCGACATCGGGAAGTGATTGGTAGCAGCATGAGCTGATGTTGTTTGAGCCACAAGTGCACCTTCAGCATTCAACAAGGCTGCATTTACCTCGAGAGGCGTCGTTCGGTTTCTGGAGCCCCATGTTTGGTTTGACAGAAGAGAGAGAGCACAGGATGAGTCAGTGACTCCATTGATGCATTCCCCAGAAGGATTACCAGGACCAGAATAACTGGTTCCACCTGAAGAAACTGGCAGGAGAAGTTCAGATGGATTGCTCTGCCAGGGATTTGGGATATACTTCCCCATAGAAGTGATGCCTTGATTTCCAGGCACCCGTTCGGATGATGCTTTCATACCCGACGACGACCAAACATCCTTTCCAGTCAGCTTTGGATATGCACTGAAGTCCATCAGAAAGCTTCCAACTCTGCTGCTGTTTTCTATCATTGCAAGCAGCAAACCAGTGGTCGTTAATCTTTGCACAAAGTTAAGTCAAGAAATATCATTTCAATGAATAATGGCAATGTCTAACCAAAGATAGATGAAGAGAAGCGACCATAACGAGTGGACAACAGTGCCCCAGGTGGTGGCTTCCTACGGCGCTCATTATGCCCAGCCAGACGTCTGCGGCAGCTACGTTTTCCTTGATCAAATTCAGGAAGCTGATGAAATCTGATAAAAACCAAAGCCGCAATCACTTTCAGTGAACTACTTGAGAATTTTGCATGCATCAAACCTTGCGGTTCTATAAATTTAATTAGTGAATCAATTTAGATCAAAGTTTATCAATTTAGATCTTCATGAGTGATGTAGAGTTGTATTTTCATTTCGTTCGATTCAAAATCAACTATATTGTTCTCCCAAAATCCTATAAAAATAGCATAATTCTTCCTAAATAATGTTTCATTCTCTTCCCCAACCAATGTGGGATCTCACAATCCACCTCTCTTCGGGGCCCAGCGTCCTTGCTAGCACACCCCGCCTCATGTCCACCACCTTTGAGGCTCAGCCTCCTTGCTAGCAGTGTCTGGCTTTGACACCATTTGTAACGATTCAAGCCCGCCGCTAACAAATATTGTTTTCTTTAGGCTTTCCCTTTCGGGCTTCCCCTCAAAGTTTTTAAAACACTTCTGCTAAGGAGAGGTTATTCTACCCTTATAAAAACTGTTTCGTTCTCTTCCTTAACTGACGTAGGATCTCATGTGGTAAAGAGAAAGAGAAAGAAGCTAAAAATACTTTTGTATATTTTGTAAAAATGGAGCAAATGGAGCAAACTAGGACATTTAGAGTAAACAGAGCTAAGAATCAACGATATCAAGTAAAGAGAAGGAAACAAAGCACAAAATCTGGAGGACAGCATTTGGACACACTACCACAACACAAGCTTAAAAGATCTGCAAGGATGGCGTTGGGACGCTGTTTGAGAGCGGCTTGATGCTATGTACTCGATGCATTAGCATCACGCAACGACACCAATCCCTGCTCAATGACCCTAAACGCTTAAAAACATGTGTGCTTTGGATTTTCGTTCGTAACATCTGGACGCTGCTCTATTTTTCCTTAATTTTCTCATAGTTTTTGTTCAAACTTCTAAAGATTTCTTAGCAATTCTTAGGAGCATTAATGGTAAGTCCAAGATATTTCTTCCATTTCCAAGACAACATTAATTTCACCCCTCAAGTTTGTTCCATTCACATTAATATTCATGAGAAAGAAGATTGTAATTGTGTCTAAGTTCTTGATTTCATATTTTCTTTCATTATATCAATGAGAGGTTTCTGTGCTTATTTTGACCAATGGTAGGGAATTTTGGTAGCCTCCTTGGACTTTTAAGGGATTGAGTAGAATATCAAGTTATGTAGCTTCTATTGCATTCAATTCATATCACAAACTGTTTGAAAAGCCAAAAGTTGGAACAGAAAATCAAGCAGGAACACAAAAAGAACGAACAGCTTGATGAAGGGTAGGCTATTGTATTGACTGCTATCAACCTCTTATGCTAGAGCTCTATATTAACATCCATTCACAGAATCAACCAAAATAGTTCTAGGAAAAAGATGAATCTAAGCTTTGAAACAAAAAGGAAACTCAGAACAACACAGTAAAATGAATCTAAGAACTAATATTCATAAGAACTAATCAAAGATAAAAGCAAAGAGAGTGTGAGGTGACCTGCTACACTGTTGGCAAAACCTTTGCTCAAGACCAGCAACAATGACCTTGGGGGATTTGGAGTGCATAGTACAAACTTTGTGTCTGGAATAGTAAGCCTTAACATCACTTAGATCTACTTTACAGCCTTCAACCTGACACCTAGGGGGCTGAGCCGGCTGAACAACGCCTCCCCCCCTAAGCTTCTTGGTGGGTGTTGATGCAATAAGAGGCGAGGATGAGAAGGATCCCCCCCCACCTGATTTAGGAAGCTCTCCAATACCCACATCTTCAAAGTAAATTTTGTGTCCAAATTTGAGGCCATTGAGGGATTCGGCTGATGAATTGGGCGGCGAGGAAGTGGAAGACCCACCAGACTCAGTCAAAGAGCTGCAATCCATTTCCATTGGGGGTTCTCTAAGAAAGAAGGTTGGTCATAATGAGTGTGTGTTGGGAGAGAAAGAGAAGGAAATGGAGCTAAAGGGGAAATGGGAAAGACGGGGCCATTGCCAGCGGAGGCAGTTTTTAATTACTTGGTTTCTTGGGTATCGTATGCAAAAATAATGGAAGAATGAGAAAGTAAAGTAAAAAAAGAAAGAGATTTTGAAGCGATGATGGGTTCTTGGTGCTCTGTTGCCTGACGAGGTGCTCTGTCACCTGACGCCCTGAACCCTTTCTCTTTCTCTTTAACCTCTTTTTTAATCCTTTCCCCTCTCTCAAAACCTTCACTTTTGTTGGATGATGAAAGTCCCACATCGGTTAATTTAGGGAATGGTCATGGGTTTATAATGTAAGAATACACTCTCCATTGGTATGAGGCCTTTTGGGAAGCCCAAAGCAAAACCATGAGAGCTTATGCTCAAAGTGGACAATATCATACCATTGTGGATAGTCGTGTTCGTCTAACACCTTTCACTCTCCTGGGTCCCATATCGGCTAATTAAGAGGATGATTAATTATGAGAGCTTATGCTCAAAGTGAACAATATCATAGTAGTGTGAAGAGTCGTGGTTCATAACATGTTTCATTTTTTGGTATTAGATATATTTGGATTTAAGTATATTAAGCTTATAATTGAAATATTATTTTATTCTCAAAATTATAAAATACCTTTAAAAGAATATATATATATATATAATTATAAATCTTTAAAAAATAAACAAAAAGTAGAATGATATTTTATTAAAAAGAAAGTAGTAATTACTATTTGTAGAAAGATTCCAAAGTATTTCGTATGGAATCGAAAAGTTTTTATTTATTTATTTAGTTATCTACACGTTTTTTCAAATAAATAAACTTTAAATTTATCATAAATTAAATAAAATACTCTTAAAATTTTTATTTTCTATTTTAATTTTCATAAATTAAATAATTTATTATTAACAAAAACATATTTTAAATACGTTACAAACAAATCTGACGAAATTATATTCTAAACGTGGTTTTGAATTATATCTTATTTTCTTAATTTTTTTTTTCCATAAATAAGGCGATTTTTATTTTTTATTCTAAAAAATAAATAAAATATTTTAATTGTTTTAAAAAGAAGATAGAAAATATTTTAAATAATATTAATGACCCCCAAAACCTGTGGAACCAAAATGTAATGATTTGTCATAACTTTCCTTTTCGACAAGATATTTTGTCATTTTTCAAAAATTGAATGCCTTTTTTATATCATTTTTTAATTAAAATTTTCACACATTATTGATAAATAAAAATAAAAAAAAAAATCATGTAAGAATGCCAATTATTTTCCCATATTTTGTAAAAAAGTTAAAATATCTTTATTGCTTCAATTCTTTCCAACTTTTTGTGTTGGCTTAGGAAGAGGAAAGTTACTCAAGGTTAAATTACTAAAATGACCCTGCAAATTATTAATGATTTTTTATTAAAAATGTAGAACCGTAGCAATAAATCAAATTAGATTTATGTGTGTCTTACTTTTATCTGTATTTACTTATAAAATGAGGCGAGATAGAAAAATGGGACGAGGTCGGAGATAAGGAATATAGTTTTTGTTTTCTTGTACCATTTAGTCTCGTTGCTCCCTCCCACATTTTCGGTGTAAACGAACATTTTTCACTTATCGACCACTGAACATTTCTAATTAAACTTATAGTTACGGTAGGTATAGACAGACGTAGTTTGATTCTTTATTTTTAACTTAACTTTAATCCAATATTTGATTCTTAACACCAACAAACATGTTGGGAAGGTACATAAACTTTTATATATTGAACAACCTTTTTTTCTTTATTTTTTATTCACTTTTTCCCAACATTATTGCAAGAGAATTAATAATGTGATATATATATATAGTGAAACTAAATCTTTGTCAATTATTTTCCACTTTTTTACGTTAAAAAAGGTTAAGAATCTTGTTCTCGATCGAGTGTCAATCCAATCCAACAAATAATAATGTTTTGCTTGAAAACCATTTTGAATCGTACGTTACAAGTAGGGTCAATCCTATAAAGACATGTTTGAGATTCATGCTCCTAGAATGAATCTCTACTTGAAAACTAATATAATAAGTATAAAACAGTAGAATTATGCTCGAATTGGTTGATATCTTTCGTATTTACATGACAACGAATTTGTATTTTTTATTGGGTCGGGAGGTGGGTTTCAAACTATTTATAAAATGATTCTACGAACGATAAATTAGCGAACGTAACGGAATGGTTTAAAAAGATTGAAGGTAAAAAAGAGGAGATGAGTGGATTGGATGTAAGCAATAATTGGGGCGTTTTGGTGTGCATCCCATTAGCCATTATCCACATGGCCATCACATAAACAAGACCTGAACTTGGATTGGACATCTTCCACTGACAACCAAAGCAATAGTCTTGTCTCTTAAGATTTCAGAATCTTCAACAGTACATCCAACCATTTTCCTCTTGTGTTTTTTTTTTTCTTTTTCATCATTTAAAAAAAAAAATTGGGATAAAAAACAGTATACGAATATATTAAAAACATACCCAAGTAAGAGTAATCTTAAAAAGATATTCATTTTCGATCTCTCAAATGGTAAAGATAAGTAGCATATGAACGATATATAAATTTAGGTAACTAATTTGACAACATAGCCTGACCTTGAATTATGCACGACAATAAATAATTTGTATGTATTGAATCTCAGAGAAAAATTTATTTATGCATGGTTCGATTCATTAAATAAATAATTACACGACTAATTTACTTACTAAATTAATTTTCAAAATCTAATAGTTTTATATCACTTGATCGTTCATCAACTTTATGAAGCCTTTAAGTTCCGACCAAATAAACACTAATTTCATCTTAAAAATTTGAATCTATGATTCAAATGGTTCTATTTATCACTGTTTTTTCTATTATTCTTTAAATTTCCGATGTTAGTTTGCATATATCTTAACTAAAAATAAAAGTGAACTAAAAGTGTGTCGTGGATAAAGTTCAACTCAAGTAGTTCAATCTAAAGATTTAAAATTACAGAGACTAAAGTAAAGCGAGAAGAAAATGATATTTAAACCTAAAACCTAAACAATTACAGAAAATTTGGAAGAACTTCTTTGAAGAAAATTGTTAATGGAACACAAATAATCTAATCTAATCTAATCTAATACTTAGAGTAAACAGTAACTATGAGATCCGTTTTCTAAATTCAAAACAGGAAATGAGAGTAAAATGCAATTCAGAAAGATCAAGAATACTGTCTGTCATATGTTCAATATTTTTCATGCTCAGAACCAACTGCTTCTAATCCTAAGAATGACCAAGTATGCATTATTTCTAGATGCTAATAATATTACTCCAACAAGCTAAGCTACAGAAGGATGAAGAGATTACCCAATTTCAAGAGGGCCATTGCCAATGACCAAATCCCTGCAAAAAACCAGTGAACCATGAACCATGGAATGAGAATCAAAGCTAACATATTATCACGTTTTGAAATTCACCTCCCATAAATCACATCGGTAGCGCTATTGCTTCGCCATATAATATGGATAGCATCCCATTCCAGCAGGCGTGGTCAGGTGGAGTCCGGGAGCGTCTTTCTTTCCTATCACTTGATGGGGATGTGGCATTTGAGGTAGGCTCGCATACGAAGCATGCGCCGACGTCGGACTAGGATATGAAGCATGATATGATGCAAGAGCTTGGGGGGGATATGCATAGCCAACAGGGGCAACACCGCCGTGTGGTTTTCCCGGTTGCGGATATCCCGCTGCTGCTACTGGGTATGGCATAGAAGGAATAGCTGGGGGTACTTGTGCCTGCATCATCTTGTTCCTGTGTGAATCGGCGAGCTTCACAATTATGTTCCTTCCCTGCAAACACTCACCACATTATAGAAATGCTTGCAAAAGAATGCAATAGAACGACCCAACCAAGGACGGTAACTTTCTCGAAAGTTTGTCTAAAGTGTCAATTCTTCCGGACAAAGAACTTCGCCTTTTTCTGGAATTTTCACCTTCCAAAAAATTGATAACACAAACTCCCTAAAAGAATAATGATCCACTCGATAAAGAAAATACAATCTTACACGAGAATCCCTTCGAAGGATGAAGACTCCATAGTCAAACAATCCTTTTTCTCCCCTGCCTAAATCGAAGTCTTCCACTAAAGAAAGGAGAGTCATAATCCCCATCATTTCTCTATCGAACAGACGAAAGAAAGAATGATCTACCTCATGAATCAAAACGTCAACGACAAAACAATTTTTCATAACAGATAAATGATAAAAATTAGGAAAGACATTGCAAAGGGGGCGATCCCCACCCATCTATCCTCCAAAAACAGAGTACCCTACCCATCACCCACCACATCACTAAATTCAGTCAAAGTGATGAGAACTATACATGCTCACAATAATCATCCACCACAAGTAAGAAAAGGAAAGGAGATAAAGAACCCTTGAGACCTCCGGAAGCAATAATCTTACCCTTAGGACTACTCTTACTTCTGGCCTTTTCCCTTTTTTTCTTGTCGCTTGAAAGATAAATTACAGCATATCTGAGCATTTAAATGATTGGAATCTTCTATAATGCTAAAAATTAAACCAGCTATTTCAAAAGGCTATTATCAAGGCTCATTAGTCACCCACCCCAAAGGTCTTGTCTGGATCATCTATTGCCTTCTTTGTAGCCTCGACTGTGGTATATGTAACAAATCCGAACCCTCTACACAAAAAAATGAAAATTATATTATAGCTGCAGTGCAGAGGGGTCCAATAAGATAAAAAAATTATAGACATCAACCAAGAAAGTAATGTCCCAATGAAACGCGAGAAGAATGTTACTAACCGTGATTCATTTGTATCTTTATCATAGGCAACCGAACCTTCTTCTATATCACCATACCTTCCAAAGAAATTCAGCAACATTTCACTTGTAATATCTGGTGATAACCCACCAATGTATAGCTTCCTCTGTGCTAAATCTGGAGTTGTACTTGATCCACTTAGACCCTCACAAGCCAGATTGCAGACAGCCATGCGACCCTAAATTAAGAAGAATTTATCAAATACAAATATTTGAGTTCTCTTGGAAATATCTTAGTAAGCCACCAGCTATGATATGTGGAACGAAGAGATGGTTGTGTTCATTACAAGTTCAAGTTATCTATCCTTACCTTGCAGATAG